AAACTTATATAGTTCTGTCACGTCCAATTTTGTAATCACAAGTTTGCGTATGACTAAGGTATATGTATAGACCTTTCGTCCTTCCTATGATCCAAATCTGCATAGGACTTCGACGACAACAATAACAATATTGATTAATTAAACTATATCATTTTGATTTAGTTCGGTTCAATTCATACTACCTGAACACTAGAACTCAGAATACCAAATGTATACATATAAAACAAATATCAAATGTATAGAACTCACAATTCCGAACTTCAAATTCAACAACTTAATAGAAGATCGAAACTTCATATTCGAATTTCAATGATGCCCACCGTGTTTAATTAGGTTTTCTTTCCCATTTCTTTTGTTCACACTCACTGGTTGCATGAACCAAATCCTCCTCGTCAATTGTCCATTGCATAATGCATCAATATAATCGACTGCTGGCTGTTTAAGAAACAGAGGACTCCTCGGCTTCCCTGCAATGACATTAATTAGTGTACATGAACGTTTCCATGCAATTGCAACCCTGCTCCATCGTCTACCCGTAACCCGTCTCTATATAAATACTACTGAATCCTTGCAATTTCTTAACCAAAAAACCAATTAAGCACTCACACTACACTCACTATATCATCAGAGGGCAAAACGTACGTACAGAGAGAAAGAGATACTATATATATAAGTCTATAACTAAGGTTTTGGAAAGATGCAAAGGAGTAGTGGTAATTGCTTCTCAAGGCCTGCTATGGCTACTCCCAAGGTGGAAACTGTGGTGAAGCTTCAGGAACAAGAGCGCAAATCTGCTTTTGCCGTGGGTAGTAGTATCAAGCAAGAAGCTGCCGTGTCCGCTGCTGCTGCAGGCGCTCCGGCGCCGGCCACAACCCCTGTTGTGAACATCAAGCAAGAGACCAGGAATGTGGCAGCTGCTCCGGTGTACCAACGTTGCATCGGCGGTTGATGATGCATGTCACAGCAAAGGCAGAGAATCAAGGAGGGGATGTGGTTGTTAATAATTAGTAATAAATAAAATGGGGAGGGGGGAATGCTGCTTGCTTGCTTTTAGTTGTTTTTATTTGGCTATCTATATCTTTGGTTTGGTGCTTAATTTTACGAAGACAATGAATAATATCAAATATGGTTTGAACTTGGAACGTTGCATCGGTGGTTGGCATAGGTTTGCACGAGCAGAGGCAAGCCAAAAACATACAAGATCAAAATGAGAAGAAAAATACGTACATTACCCTTTTTAGGTTTTGTGACGAATATATCAGAGGTAGAGTCAGGCTCAAACCCTCCATTTGAAAGGGACATTTGGTCTTTGTATTGTTTGTACCCAGTGGTCAAAAAGCTTCCTGCATGCCTCAAACATCTACGAACAATCTTTGTATTCTTTTCAATGGTAAGGAGAAAGAAAAGAAAATCTAAGACAGAACAATATAATAAAGTTAGTGAGATGGTTGATAATATTTTTCAATGGTTGAAATACCGTATCAGAGGTTGTATCGACAAAAGTCAGCGGTAGGGTATTTTATGCTGAAATCAGGATTTAATTATGGTTTAACTGCTTCATACCGCTAAATACCGACTACCAGTTTAGGCTCTGGTATGAGATTTTTCTGATTGAACCTCATGTACGATACGGTATTTCAATCCTTGCTATTTTTAATATTTATAATAATATAGACCCAAACGAACTCATTTAAATCAGATTCAATTGACTTGATTCAAATTGTATTCAATCCGAACACAACCCAAACCCAGGGGCAAAGGGAGAAGCTAAGAGGGTGGGTCCCGGGACACACCTTGGCTCGGGGAGAAATTTTTTAAATTAGGTATAATAGTTAATTCGGTATAAAAATAACACTTATTTAGTTGAAAATTGTTGACATTTCAAATATTTGATGTATAATTTATAAGTTGTGTATTGACATATTTAATATTTGTATAATGAGTTATGTACAAATGACAATGGTGCATATGATCCGTCCAAAATTAAAGTGTATTTATCCAATATCTCGAACAAATTTCCATCAAATCATAGCCAATTTATAAAAATAAATTTATTTCAATCAAGGGTAGGGAGAGTGTAACGGGTGAATCCTAAGGACAAAAATGACTAAAATAGTATAATAGTTAAGCACATGATATTCGGATTTTCGAAAAATTTAAGTACGCATAAGTTGGTTTTCGTTAGCAGAGAAGTGTTATAAATACTAAATAGTATAAGTCCATTATTAAATCTTTCACAACAACTCGAGTTATTAATACTAAACGGTCTTGAGGAAGAACACTATTCAAAAGCAAATGTCTAACTAAATCGTTAATAATTGGTTGATACATATAGAGTGATATTCTTGATAGTTTAGACATATATTTAATATACCAAGTTTTTGTAAATACAATATTATATCATGAATTATTTAAAATCGGTAACAAAACTATTTTATTATATTTTTTTTTTCAATAGACCCACCCTCGATAAAATCCTGGCTACGCCCCTGCCCAAACCCATAATTATTAAGAGTGCATGCATATGAGTTCATTTGAATCTGATCCAATACCCAAATGAATCATGCAATTAGTTTTCAATTGCCCAATAAATCAACTGGTTGCCATCACTTAAAATCATTACATGTTGTCTAATAATCCTCTCCCCAGAGTAAATGGTTGCGCTCTATTTATATTTGTTGGAAATTCGATCACTTAATTATTCGATGATTGTGTCATGTAGTGTTTTTTTGAGAGATGGGCTCTCAGAACCTAAGACGAACTTGAGTGTGAAAGAAGAAAATAACAACCAAGGAAGGAAATAATTAAAGTAATTTGGGTTTATAGAGGATTACACCATTAGAATCATTTTCTTCTCCTCCTAGGCCGCCGGCCAAGGTTGTCAAACCGGTTTGTGCCGATGTGCCGATTTCATAAGTGAAATGGTCCTACTGTGGTATAATCGATATCTATACTGGTTTGTGCCGGTTTAACAAAAATATGTATAATCATCAAACCGGTGTTATTCCAGCCTGTTTCATGATCGGTACTGGTTCGACCGGCCGACATACCACTGGCATGACAACCATGCCGCCCGCCCTCTACCCTCATTTTCCTTCCCAAACTAAATTAATATTCCCACAAGAAACATTAATAATTCTAATTAATAATTTATACGAAATTTCAGAATAACAAATTTAACTAGTAATATATATAAGTGAAATTTTCTACAACAATAACGAAATAAAAATAACTAAAGATATATATTGAAATCCAAACTCTCAATTAATCACATGGACCAAATACGTGACAATATGTCAATATCCCCTTAAGCGTTACCTAAATGTCTTTTTAAGTCTTAAGGGTGGCCATCCTCGTGGATGAAATAACCATCACCCTCGCCTTCGCGCACGCCCCAATTTTGAGTAACACATTCACATTTGAACATCAACGACAATTCATATAATACTCGTTGCAATGTGAGCAAAATTGATTCGCCCGTTAATGTGTCACTCCTTCAGAAGAAACCATTTTTAGCACGAGGCACGTTATTTGCCGTAAACTTTTCCAAAAATACTCTAGTCACATTTTGTATATATACATACACGAGTCACAAAAAAATAGTGATGATACTATTCAACCACTCTTCCAAATAGAAAAATTAGTGAATGTTGAGAACAAATGGAGTTTTTCAGTCCATGCTTTTGAACATGTTTCTTAATTAACCAAGAATCAATCCTACAGCATGCGCAGCTTCAGTAGAATTAACTATTGAGATGATGGGCTATCTGGAACAATGCATAAGCTGGCAGCTTCCTAAATACATTAGCAAATAGACCCATGACTACGCCATTAAAAATGATGGAAATTTCTTAGAATCCCATCATTTCATTTCATGACACTATATATATATCAATAATCAAGAGAGACACTAAACAAGGAGACCACCCATATATATATGGATCACGCACACTATCAATAATAATAATAATATAAAACCTAACACATCACATTTAATCGTCTGGCTGGACAATATCGATAGCTCGCTGCTGCCTGTGTCCTTTTTTCTCTGGGCAAGACTCAATGACAATATTGTTCATATAACTCGGACAACAAAACTTTGAGGGGAAAGGAATAGCAGATTTAGATCCACCAAAACTAGAAGAATATTACATATGTAACTCAGCGCAACACGAAATCCCCACTGTCTGTCAGTTAGGGTTTCCTTTTGAAAACAACTGTTCATATACGTGTGTAAGACTGATAGATAAGTACTCTGGGATCTTTTATTATTAATATGTTTAGTAGTCTTTTATTCGTATTAGGTTTATTATCAGGTTTTTCTAGTCTTTAACTATAAATAAGTACTCTGGGATCTTTTGTTGGATTAAGCAGAAATCAGTTAAAGAATTATCTTCCCAAACCCTAAGCTCTCCCTATCTCCTAATTTCTCTTCTTGCCTAGTCCAAGATTTCGGCCGATTCTTTATTCTGTTCTTCCTCTCCTAATCTCAATCTCAATCCCTAATTCGATCTGTTCGTATAAATCTTAATTCCCAAATATCAAATCCGATAGAAACCCTGTTTCTATCAAAGACGATGATCATGATGGAGTTGGGAAGAGCTAGCTAGCAATCATAGTAGTGCATACAGAGAAAACAGTGGCAGCTGGTTGCACTAGTACTTGCATTGCATGATTATGATTGTGGGGCAATGACAGTGAGAGCCTCATGTCATGAAGAGCAGGAAGCTAAGGAAGGAATTTCAGTTCAGGAATTGCATGACGCCAACTCCACCGTCACCCTGATATCATTCATTACACACAACATCCAAATTCATAAGAAACAGCGAAAAGTGACGATAACTCCATCGTCACCATGATCTTATGTTTTGATCATCCCATTGTTCTCCCCTTCTTTCCAACCCCACTCAGACAAACTTGAACTCCAAAAAGCTAAAAGCCAAAACACAACCAAAAGAGGATTTCTGATGTTAATTCGACTGGTGGTGGAAGAAGAAAGAAGACGATGAGTTGTAAAACCAACCAACAAAGTGAGTAAAAGTACGTAAATAACCTTATGCACCCAACAAACAAACAAACAAACACACCCAGAGAGACTTGTCCTTCTTCTTCGTCACTTCTCATCATCATTTCAACGCTAAGAACAAACAAAGTGTCCTACGTACGTAGTATTTCATTTATAACTCTCTATATATATAAAAAAAAAAAAAATACAAGCAAAGAAGAAGAAAACCACACGCCACACCACACAAACTGAACCAAAAGACATTTTGAGTAAGAACCAATCGAGAGATGTCTCCTTTTTTTCCTAAATCATAGAGACACCTCTCCGCTAACCCATAATTAATAAAAACATGCACCAAGGAAAATACGTTATAGAGACCTGTTATTCACGTTGTACGATGATGTTGTTCACGTTAACATTGTTGTTGTTGTTAGTAGTCCGCTGTCTCTTGACACTCCCGGAAGAAGAAGAAGAATCGTGATCCCCTCCGCCGCCCTTCTCCATCACCGTCTTCAGCGCCTCGTGGATCGAGCTTATCGAGTACTGCTGCACCGCTTGTTGCTGATGATGCCCATACTGATGAATTCCCTCGTCGGCGTTTTCGTCGTCGTCGTCGTCGCCGGTGATGAAGAGGACGTTTTTCACCCTGCCGCCGAGGGTGGTGATCTCGGCCTTCACCGTGCGGAGGCGCAGCGCCTTGAGGGTCTTGATGACGTCAGGGAGAAGGTCGGACCTGTCCTCGCAGCAGAGGGAGGCCTTGATGACGAATTTCCCGTCCTCGTCGGAGTTGGCGTCGACGGTGAGCTCGTCGAGTCCCGTCGGGACCGGGGTGGTCTCGGCTATTAGATCCGTCTGCCGCTTCAGCTCCTTCACGTGCTGGATCACCTCCGCCAGCAGCGACGCCTTGTCCGTCTGCATGCACATTCATATCCCAATCACAAACAAAAAACAAAAAAACACGTGAAAAAAAAAACAGAAAACTGAACTCCATTTAACGCATATGTGGGGACAAGTTTCTTTATCAACACGCATCATTCGTACCTACTAAGGTGTAAGAGAATTAGGGCATGGGTTATGGTGGTGGAACGTGAAGTGCATTTGTGTGAGTGTGCGAGAGAGAGAGAGAGAGAGAGAGAGAGAGAATGAATGGAGGATAAATAATATCAAGTCAAGATATATTCTTTGTTTGAACTTGATTTGAACGATGATGAAATCAAAGAACAACCGGCCGGCAGGAAGTGCAACATCCTGCTGCAGCCAGGCACAGCATTTTTGGTTCCTCTTTATTGTGTCAAGCCTGCGACAGACAAGACAATGTCACACCCACACCCGGCCGCCTTCCTTATTCTTCTCCTGCTTCCTCTCCTTCCTATACTTTCTAGCTATAGCTTATGGGTGGCTATACGGTCCGGTCCGGTTAAATTGGACCAAATTGATCCGGTCTCAGTCCGGTCTTTTCGGAAATATAAGAACCAAAGATTGGATTGGTTACAGTCCGGTCCCAATTTGATCTTGATTTTAGGTGTTGGGGGTCTCTTATCTGGTCTTTATCTGGGTTTTTTTACCTCAAATCTAACCCGAATATGAGATTGAATTATTTGCTATCTAGTCCCAGTCCGGATTACACGGTCCCGTTTCGGGTAAAACCAAACAATCCGGACCAAATAGTCAGCCCTACTATAGCTAGCTAGCTCCCCGTTTTATCCTCTTTTTCTTCCCTCTCTTATCTTGCCCTCTTACCTTCCCCTTCCCTTTCCTTGGAACTCCCAAATATTCAATATCCCAAAAATACATTAGGATAGTATCAAATTCCATGAAGGAAACTCGAAAGGACAAAGCTTTAGAACACCAGCACCCCAAAAATGCAACCGATCGACTTTCAAACCCATCATAAAGCAAGTTTTTAGTCTAAAGATCCTTCCTTTCACAATAATTATCACTAAAGAAACCTAATTCACAACAACCCACCAGAGGGGAAAAAAAACCAGATTGAATGAATTAGGGTTGGAGGTGGGTATTACGTACTTTGGTGGTGCTGGGGAGCAAGGAGCGGAGCTTGGCGTAGTGTTTGTTGATCCTCTCCCTGCGCCGCCGCTCGGCCTCGCTGTGGCTCTTGGAAGCGGCCAGGGCCTTGGCGTCCATGATCTCCTGGGCCGTCATCCTCTCCGCCTGCAGCCCAAACGGATGATGGTGGTGGATCACCGGGCCCAACGTCTCGGATATGATCCTCAGATGATCCGCTGCCGACGATCCGACGTCGTACGCGAACTGCAAAGACGACGGGCCTCGGTTGAAGAACCCACCGTACGATGATGATGATGAAGACGGAAGAGGCGGCGGGATGAGGAATTGGTCTTGGTGATGGGTTTCGTATGAGTTGACCGGATTATGGTGTGGGAAAGTTGACCAAGGGGAATAAGGCAGCTGGATCGGTTCCCCGCCGCCGTAGAAGCAGGCTGCGGCTGTAGAGGAGTCGCTGTGGTGCATGGTGTAGCCGCCGACCGCCGTCTTGTTGTTGACTTGTTGGTGGTGGTGATTTAGGGTTAGGGTAAAATACGTCCCTAAGGAAGGAAGGAAGGAAGGAAGGAGAAGGGTTTGTGATGGAGTTTTGGAGAAGATGAGGAAGATGATGGTGATGGATGGTTGAAAGTGAGCCTTTTTATCCTCTTTTTGCTGGGGGCTGCGGATGCCTTTTTCTTCTACCTCTTCTTCTTCTTCTTCTTCTCTACCTTTCCTTTTTCGCTTTCTCTTTTTTTTGTTTTTTGTTTTATTATAATGGAAAGCTAGCTTTCTGTGTGGTGCTGGTTGGAATGAAATGATGATCTTCTGGCGCAGCGGCACTCTATTGCATGTTGTTTGTTGTAGACTCGACTCGGCTTGTCTTTTGGACCAGTAGCAGCAGCAAGCGCATAATAGTAAGTAATGATGATGATTTATATATACAAACTAAAATACTCTATACAATAATACAATGTACGTTTCCTTTGGTCTTACGCCATGTATATCGATATCTCTCATTTTCTGTAATCCAAAATTAAAAATGTGGTTGGCGCCCTTATCATTTTGTAGGTTGGCCGGAATTACAAACAGAATACGGGAAAGATAGACTCGCCGGAAAATGAGAAAACAACGTAAGAATAAGTGCATTTAGAAACTGTCACTTGGAGTCGAGTGATTGAATTGTATTGTTCTTAATTATTTACCTGTAACGAAGGTAAATCTGTGATGTCTTTGAGATTTTAAATAATTGGCTTAGAATTTCAATAACTCTTGGAGTTGATGACGATCTAATTGAAAAAGTAACTAATAATCTAGTAATTTCGTTCATTTTTTTTATCGTGTGATTTTAGATTATGTCTCTATATAATCTATATCACAAACTATTTAGCCTTGTATAACATGAATATTAATTATTTTCTATTTACGAGTGCTTTAGTTTTAGACAAATCTGTTTACTCTTTTTTGGTGGGTTTGGCGCTCGGGTGGTCAAAGGAGCCGAGCCCCCACCCTAAACCCTTTCCCACGTTGTTCCATCCTCTCTCTCTCTCACTAGGGTAATACTAGTACACTAGTAGTAGTTCCAACCACGCCAACCTTTCTTCTCCCACAAGACCATGTAATCATTGTGTCTTGGAATACACTCCACCTTCTCTCACTACAATCTCTTTCTGTCTTTCTCTAGCTTTGCGCTTTCCATTGGAAGGTATATATGTGTATAGCTGATTGGTATCAGTCAGCAGTTTACATGTACACATGGAGTTCTCTCGGCTGGAAGTTTGGTGCCGGTATTTGGGATATACCGAATACAGTACCGAATTTGTCTATATTTGGTATTACCGAATACACGTATTATTTTGTGGTATTGGGATTGGAATTGAATTATAATTGTTATTCGGTATTAGGAATTACGGGATTGGGATCGGTATATACCGAAATATCGATCAATACCGAAATATAAGCTAGTGTGTATTGTATCCTCTCAACTAGACTCTCTCATTCAATACTACGCGACCCTCATCCACCAAAAGTGTCATTTAATTATACATAGATCATTAGTTCATTACATCACTATTTCACACTATTATTAGTCGTCTCTCAACCTCAAATTCATCAAATTAAAAATAACCAATTACAAACTTGAGATGTTAGCTCTAGGCAACTCAAGACTATGTGCTTAGTCTCTTTGCCCAAAATTAAACAATAAAATCTAATTTATATATTTAATTATTAATTGCAAAGGTAAATAATTATGTATTCGATAATACCGATTGGGATACCGAGGTACCAATTGGGATACCGAAATTATTTAGGGATTGGGATTGGGATCCGAAATTATTTAGGGATTGAGATAGGGATTGATTTTAGGGTGTAATTTGGTATTTGGGATTTCGATATTTGGTATTGGGATACCGATACCGTACCGATTTCCACCCCTAATTTAGCCATTTATTAAAAAAAAAAACTTGGGCACATTTGTGCCATAGGGTGGGCTCTTGGGTGGGTGGGTGGAATATCCTAGCATCCCCCCTCTCTATAGTTCTAGTCATCTAGAGGTGAAAGTATCTAGAGATAATAAGGAAGAAGAAAAATTAAAGAAATGAGCAACTTTTAATCCTAATGTAATCCTCTAGTATTTTATTTAAGGCTGTAAAATGTAAATTAAGCATAGTGCCAATGAGATAAAAAATTTGCGCAAATCAATAAGTATTTAGTTATCCAATTCAATTGGGTTGGATATGAAATTCAAATACAAGATGAAGGGTCAAGTTTGATAGGTTTATATCTAAACTCATTTATTTGGGTTGGGTTGGATTTTTAATCTATGTGTTAGGGTTGATCCCATGTATGCAAAGCATACTTTAGTACCTAACCTTAAAAGATTTTTAGATTTAGTGCCTCAATTTAATTGTTTTCATTTTAAGTCCTCAAAATATCAATAAAGATTAAAAGTTTAGTATTTAAAATTTGTTGCCTTATATTTTTATACCTAAACTATTAAAGATTTACAAATAGATCCAATTTTTTTACGTGTAGTTAAAACAACCTCATGTAAATTGACATCCATGTCAAATTCATACCCAACTCATACTCAATTAGAATATGGAAGCAATACTCATAACAAGCAAAAACTCATACAGACTTCATTTATACCTTATCCATAATTAATAGGTTTATTTGAATTTTGGTAAAATTACCCATGAATGGATAATTATATATCATCCATACCAACAAGGCAGTGACTCCAGCTTGAAAATGAAAATAAAAAAATTTAGTACCTAACCTTAAAAGATTTTAAGATTTAGTGTCTCAATTTAATTGTTTTCATTTTAAGTCCTCAAAATATCAATAAAGATTGATAGTTTAGTATTTAAAATTTATTGCCTTATATTTTGATACATAAACTGTTAAAGATTTACAAATAGATCCAATTTTTTACGTGTAGTTAAAACAACCTCATGTAAATTGACATCCATGTCAAATTCATACCCAACTCATACTCAATTAGAATATGGAAGCAATACTCATAACAAGCAAAAACTCATATAGACTTCATTTATACCTTATCCATAATTAATAGGTTTATTTGAATTTTGGTAAAATTACCCATGAATGGATAATTATATATCATCCGTACCAACAAGGTGACTCCAGCTTGAAAATGAAAATAAAAGATTTTAGTACCTAACCTTAAAAGATTTTAAGATTTGGTGTCTCAATTTAATTGTTTTCATTTTAAGTCCTCAAAATATCAATAAAGATTGACAGTTTAGTATTTAAAATTTGTTGCCTTATATTTTGATACCTAAGCTGTTAAAGATTTACAAATAGATCCAATTTTTACGTGTAGTTAAAACAACCTCATGTAAATTGACATCCATGTCAAATTCATACCCAACTCATACTCAATTAGAATATGGAAGCAATACTCATAACAAGCAAAAACTCATATAGACTTCATTTATACCTTATCCATAATTAATAGGTTTATTTGAATTTTGGTAAAATTACCCATGAATGGATAATTATATATCATCCATACCAACAAGACAGTCACTCCAGCTTGAAAATGAAAATAAAAGATTTTAGTACCTAACCTTAAAAGATTTTAAGATTTAGTGTCTCAATTTAATTGTTTTCATTTTAAGTCCTCAAAATATCAATAAAGATTGACAGTTTAGTATTTAAAATTTGTTGCCTTATATTTTGATACCTAAACTGTTAAAGATTTACAAATAGATCCAATTTTTTACGTGTAGTTAAAACAACCCCATGTAAATTGACATCCATGTCAAATTCATACCTAACTCATATTCAATTAGAATATGGAAACAATACTCATAACAAGCAAAAACTCATATACACTTCATTTATACCTTATCCATAATTAATAGGTTTATTTGAATTTTGGTAAAATTACCCATGAATGGATAATTATATATCATCCATACCAACAAGGCAGTCACTCCAGCTTGAAAATGAAAATAAAATAAAACCAAATAGTAAATTTATAAGGGAAAACATTTATTATATTATATTTTTTAAAAATGTTGTTATTAATTAATGATGACACAAATAATATTTTATTGAAAGTTGCTTTTTACCACTAACGACCAAAGTTAACGAAGTTGAAATTTGAGAACACAACACTCATATTAGATACATAGGAATATAAATTAGACAGCAACTATGAATAAAAGTTTCAAAATTGAAATTCACATATGAAGTCTATGTTCAGTAGTGGTGTGTTGGGGTGAGCTAACGATTCAGTCTTCATCGGATCAAATTGTAGAAAATTGATATTTTGATTGAATCAAATCGAAAAATCTATTTTGATTCGATTTCGATCCTTCAACTTATCTTATTTACGAAGGAACGTGGGTCGTAATTGAATTTAGACCAAACCTAATCGAATTAAATAAATCAAACATGTTTTTGGTCCGATTATGATCCGATATTATCTCAATTCGATCTGGTGTATTGGAGAACCCAGCTGACCCCAAGCTGCAGCAGCAACCATGCTCATCATCGAGTTCCCCTGCATCAGAAGGTGGTTGCTGACATGATGAACTGCAGGGGAGAAGACTTCCTTCGTGGAAACAAATGCAGAGTGGAACGACGCCGTTCATCTTTTACCCATACACAAGGGTTAGAGTGGAAACGTCGTCGTCCCAATACCCAGAGGAGTCGCTTAGTTTAAACGTTGTTTGTTGGCTAATGGAACACGTGTAAATATTCCATTGATCATTTTGTTTTTCTGTTTTATTTACTGTGCATTAGTCGTTGCTAATCACAATCTTCTTTTTTACTCTTTGTACAGACTTTGTATATATATGAAAATGCAAAACCCAAAAGGCTCTCAAGTTGAGAAACCCTTCACACAAAACCCTAATCTCATTTTATTCTAATGGTATCAGAGCCTGGTTGCTCCGTCAACTAGGTTTCTGCTTTCCTCAACTCGTTTTGCTGGTTACGAATCTTGTTCATAGCATTCTTCTTCTGCTATGGCTCATCCGGTGACTGGCGTTGATGGTGTCGTTTCTGATGGCTCAGAATCGGCCGATTTCACTACTCAAGACCCTCCTCCTAACACTTCTGGTGGCTCTGGATCTGCAGCAGCCGCCATCCCACTTGGTGGATCTTTCCACACATCTCAACAGCCTT